TGGAGACTAAGGTGTGCCTGATACAGGCCATGGTCTTTGCTATCACTTGTTATGCATCAGAGAGTTGGACAGTGACTAAGGAGGATAGAAGGACAATTGATGCCTTAGAGCTGTGATGCTGTGGTACCATGGACTGCTAGGAAAACAAACAGATTCATCCTGGAAAGGGTTAAACCAGGCGGCTCCTTGGAGGCAAGGATTTTGAGGCTCTGTCTAACATACTCTGGACATGTTGTAAGGAGGGACCAGTCCTTGGAGAGGGACATCATGCTTGGGAGGGTGGAGGGACGGCGCAGGAGGGGAAGGCCCTCTATGAGGTGGATTGATTCAGTGACGGGGCAATTTAGATGGGTGTATCGGAGATGGTGTGATTGGCACAGGACAGAGCGGAGTTTAGGGCTGTTGTACATAGGGTCGCGATGAGTCATAAGCGACTCGATGGCACATAACAACAACATTCTGAATCATAGATGCGCTGCCATGAAAGGACAGATAATATAAAGGACAAGCAGACACTCAAGGGTAGACGATCCATTCAACCACAAACGCAGTTGCTGTATAAAGTTAGTAGGTGTTATTTCCTCATCCTACAAATAGATTCCACTCTGTAGACCTCAAGGGTAGAGAAGATCCTGTATTTAATTTTTAATATTCTTTGGTATTCTGTACCCCAAAACATTACCTCTCCTCTACACACACACACACCCCTCCACTTGATCAGGTTTATTGAATTTTTCCCATGAGTTCTGTCTCCAGCGTTCCATCAGACTAGCTACTTTTCTTTAATATTCTTACCTGTCACCCAACACAGGTTCCAATGTCATTGTCTTGTTGTGTTTTTCCAGTAATCACCACCACAATTTCAACTTCAGCAGCAGTTTCAACTCCAACCTCAAAGACTCCAGCAAAAACTTTGAATCCAACCTCAAAGACTCCAGTGGCAACTTCAGCTCCAACCTCCAAGAGTTCAGCGAGAACTTTCATTCCAACCTCAACGACTCCAGAGAAAACTTCTACTCCAACTTCAAAGACTCCAGAGAAAACTTCCACTCCAACCTCAAAGA